GAATGTGTCAGAGGAATAATTATTTCTAAAAATTTATAGTGAAAAGCACCCAAGATGAAACTGCCCAAACTGAATGTGCAGACTCTGTCCAGGGGCGTAACTACAAGGAGGTTTGGGGGGTGTCTCACCCCCCCCCCCCAATCTTTTGAAACGGTACTCTCGTCGGGCAAAAACTAAGAAATTAAAGGTCGGTCAAAACTACTGAAAATCTAGTCGAAAATGTTAAATCATCTGGATGGGCAGGGCAATGAAAGATTTTAAATTTCAGATATTGTTAAAAAAATAAGGGTTTCATGCATGTTTTAACAGGAATTTGTCCGAAAAAAATTTTTTACCTTTAATTTAACTGGTTTTTGTCCGAAAATATTTTATGGCCCCTTTTTTGGAATGTCCGGAAAAAATTTTCTCAGCTCGCCCCCCCCCTCCCCCCCGCTTGCCAACTTTTTTAGGAAAAAAATTGACAAAAAAATTTTTGCTTGCAGGGCATCATCGATTTCGTCCGGCAACTCTACCAGACACCCCTCCCCCCAATCAAAAGGGGCTAGTTACGCCCCTGACTCTGTCTCAGACATATTGCTAAATATTTATTATGAAACTGCCCAAGCTGAAAGTGCAGACTCTGTCTCAAACATTTTGCTAAATATTTACAGTCAACAATGCCCAAGTGCAGACTAGCTCTGTAACAAACATTTTACTAAAAATTTACCGTCAACAATGCCCAAGCTGATAGTGCAGACTCCGTCTCCAAATTTTATTAAAGATTTACAGTGAACAATGCTCAAGCTGAAAGTGCAGACTCTGTCTTAAACATTTTACTAGAGATTTAATTACAGTGATAATTGCCGAAGCTGAAAGTTCAAAGTGAAGACTCGGTCTTAAACATTTTACAGTATAAACTGCCTTCGCTGATAATCTAAACGTTACTTACCAATTTTCTATTTCCATAAAGTGGTGCCAGAAACTGTAAGAAGATGTATATTATACGATATTTCACCAGAGAATCATTCACAGTTTGAATATGCTCTTTACACTTGACAATATATAGATAGGAATTCGAAATTTTTAGCTTTAAAGTGCGATTGAAAGACAACAACATCGCCAATTAATGTTTTTCTTGTAACCTTTCCAAAAAAGAGGCGATTTCAACCTTAACATATCTCAAAAAGGTATTTTTAAATTTTAATCCACAAATGCAGAGAAGTATATTATTGTCTATAGCATTTCATTGATGAGTGGGAACGACCAATATGGCCGCCGCCTATATTCATCGGGGAAACCGCTGAGATTTTTGGCTTCAGTTTTGTATTCTGAGATGCGCTATCTAGTGTATGTGAGATATCTATGATTCTATGTGATACCATAAAGCAGTGTTGATCAAGTACCACCAACTACTGTACATTAATAAGCAGGACTTAGCAGGCATATACAGTAATACCCAGTATTCAATAAATCACAGTGAAAATAATTGAACATAATAATAGAATCCAACTGCCAAGTATGGTTGAAAATTAATATTCCCATATATACAGATCACTTATCTATTCTATATTTCAACTATACAATGATATCAAAACATCAAAAGTACTTGCTTAGCATTTTAGCATTTATACAGCTATCACATGACTATCAAACGTTACTAAAATACTGTTATACTTATAGCGAGGTATCTATGATATCAACAGCTCAAACTGCAAAGTTATTCATTGAACTGTTTCTATATACAACCGGCAACAGAACTACTGAACCAACGCGCAGAATTTTAGGAGAAATATTTTAATACACAATCACATTCACAAAATATGAACTGATCATGAAAATATTATAGATTTACAGTGAAAGCAAGGTTATAGGTAATTAGGTAAATATTGTAGTAAACATACCGTGCTTGTCTGACCAACATTAAATTTAGTAGAAACAATCTGTAGTGACAAGGCTTTTTGGATCTCGTTTTAATATCGTAATACATGAATGACATGATAAAAACTTTAAGATGTTGATGCATATCCCCATATTGCGTTTGCGGAATCAAATTTATCTGACTTATAGACCGCGTAGCCCCCCCGACCACAGAGGAAGTACCACGATGGTGGAAGGAAGATTCAGTTTACCATGGGGGCGGGATATATTGAAATGTTACTGCATTCAGGGGAAAAATTATCTTCTGCATACAATACTTAGTGTTAGTGTTAATGAGAGGCAGTGAATTGACTTATTGACTGAATTCTGAAAATAAATTAGCTTGATAGGAAATAGGAATATTAATAATAATATAGTTATATCCAGAGGAATCATTGTCATTTACATTCATTCACGTTTCCAAAGCAAGTAAGTCGGGCATTAATTCTAGTATTATGACCATTGGTTATCATTTATATCATTGTGGTTCGATTCGAAATTTCGTTAAAAATAGTTGTTAAAGTACTAACTAAATTTAATAGTAAATAATGTATAATTTCCCAGCAAGCTTTTTAGTTTCTCTTTGTTTCATATCAATGTTTACATTGAATTAAATTAAAAATTGAATAGGACTGCTGTTTGCAAACAAATTCGAACCTAACTTTAATAATTAATTGATAATGCCATGATTGATGAAAACAGCTAAAAATTGCAAAATCTGTGGTGAAGCTAGTCATAGCAAGTTAGCAACTGATACTGCGAAGATTTAAGAAACAATGGAGTTCTATACACACTATGTATAATGCCACAAATTATACAATTTGGCATCTGGCTACCAGCCTTATTTTGATGCAACTTGTTTCCAGGTCCCCAGTTATTGTGCATATCATGTATGTATTGTAGAATATAGAATAAAACACTTTTCTAGGCCTGCTACTTCAAGTACTGCATGCTTGCTATGCATGATGCACAAACAAAGCAAAATACATAGTGTGTATACAATATCCAGATTTTCCTTAACTCGCCTTATCTCGCCTTAACTCGCGGGGGTCAGTAGCCAGATATTTCAGGCCTACTCTGGGGCGGTAAATCGCCTTAGATTGCCTAAAATCGCCCAAAATCGCATTAAATCGCGGGTTAAAATGGTCAAATTTCTCTTAAATCGCCTAAAATCGCTTTAAATCGCCTAAAATCGCTTTAAATCGCTTAAAATCATGGGCGCACTGGGTGGGGGACGGGGCGACCGCCCCCCCCCCCAGTTTCTGGCTGGGCAGTCACCCCCTGGCTTTGTTGGGCAAACAGAGCCAGCCGGGAAATATTCGCTTCACAGTCGGGCAATAATGGTTTATTATAGAAATAAATGGACAAATTCTGTCAATTTTGTGGGAAATTCTGTCAATTATGTGGGAAATATGCGATCTAATAGGAATTTTTTGTAATCACTTCTCCCCCCCCCCCCAATCACTTCTTTCCAACCCCCTAATATTTTCCTTCCCGTAGGCCCATGCTTAAAATCGCATTAGCTCGCCAACATGCATTCTGTTTGATACATTCAGTCAATAATGTACTCAAGTTTATCAATTGCTGCTATTTTGCTGGCAAATCATGTATAATCCAAGTGTTTTGCAATCAAAAGTAATGCAACATGGATAAATCAAACAAGTGGATTAGGCTGACAATATTTAGTCACTTAATAGGCTCCGGTCGTTAATAAAAACAGAGCCTTTTTCTGCTTTATGCAAACTTTACAATAATTAGGCAATTCTGGGATATGAAAGACCCATAGATTCCATTACACTACCAGCAACAAAATTGAGTTACTGGTTAATTTCATTATTGGTGTAAAATGTGGAGGCTCGGCTACAATTTATATGGACTATGGTGGCTGGGCTACAAATTAATCTATAATATACATGGCTTCTCAAAGCCTAATTGCTGTTAGAACAACAGTAGGAGACTATCATAATGAGAGTCAATGAGTACGAGTATATAATAAGGTCATCCTGCAATTTATGCACTGTTGCATGTAGATCGAGCACTGCATTGTATGCCAATGGTTGTACTTCGACATGTGCATGGTTATACTCTAGCTCCTAGTTATAATTATATTGGCTATCATACGAAAAACATACGTGAGGTTTAATATGAGCAAGATTTGCAAGTTTTGCAACTCTCATCTATTAAATTTTCCAGACCTGTATATAAAATAAACAGTAAAACAATGATTACATCTTACATACCATACAATCTTTGTTGTTGCTTGTTTGCAGAACACTTGACAAATTATCAGGTAAAAGACTTAAAACCATGATGTAGTGCGCGGTGTGCCATTTGTTTAATATCATTTTGTTTAGTATTATTTTTTAAATAATTTAGAATTCCGACCATTTATATGCGATGTACTTCATGTAAATTAAACTTTACGGCATTACGCCGACAGTTTCCGAATGCGTGACAATACTGTTTCAAACTGTTTCTGGATATAGATATCAAACATAATTTATAAAACATGTTTGTTGAAACAGTTTAAATAAAATGCAAGCTAAGGGCCTGTTCATATGATCCCGCTTACCGGGACGTCCCGCTTACCGATGATCTCGCCGCCTATCTATTTTCCTATAAAATTTTGCATTGTGTTCATATGAGAAAGCGAGCTGGCCCGCTTGCCGAGATCTCGTTTGAATTGGCCGAGATCATAGGTAGGCGGGATGAAAATTTTTCCATATGAACACGCCAGCCCGCTTACCGGGATGAAGTGAAACAAGTCTTGCCGGTTTAATTTAACACTTTTTACTTGGTTTTATGTTTGTTTTGTAAACAAGTATTAAATAACCACCTGAAGCAATACTTTTTCTTGTAAATAAACGAAGAAAAACACTAAAATCGCCAAGTATTTGCCGTTGCTTGACTGAAATGTAGAAGTTTTGCATACGCCAATTATAGAACTACAATGTAATTTCATCTTGGCAAGCGGGACGAAATACTCCATATGAACGCACGGAAATATTCGTCTCGGTAAGCGAGACGTCCCGGTAAGCGGGATCATATGAACAGGCCCTAAATAAAGAAGTGTTAACAAGATACAAAACAAGACAATTTCACTTCCAAGGGTGACAAGGTAATTTATATGAATATAGCTTATTGTAACTGTCTAAATATATTGAATATTGTGCGTTTCTACTCCCTGTGGGCTGTGGTTCTTTTGGAAATCAAATATCTATTATATTTTGCAATTAATAATATTAAAGTTTAGCCTAAGACATGTGTAGTTTAGTTATAGGTTGGTATTTTGCAATTATGTACCGTACATACCCCTTAAGTAGAGTATATTTATTAACTGTTTACAATATTTGTGGTATATAATGTAGCCATAAATGCATGACCACATGACCCCACAAGATGAACTCCAATGGCTTCTAAATAAGACAATGGATGAAAAGTTCACGAATATTGAGCTTTATATATGATTCGGGTTAAATACAATAATTATTAACCTAGCTTTATGTAAAATGACATTGATAACTTCTACAAATAATTGTATCATACTCATTCAATATGTTTCAAAATCATCACAAATCCTTTTTAAACCAGTGGTGAAGGTATTCCTTGTTCTTCAGCAAGCAAACGAATTTTCGACTGAACACAATCCAAATCGAAATACCCAAGCTCAAGTAACCTCACATTGTCGCTTCGATCTTTAAATGCAGTTCTTGCATGTAGAACTCGATAATTATTGGTTGTCATGAGATCACCTGGTTTCATTTTATGCCAAAACGAGGTTTTCTCGTCTACCATTAATTCAGAGTAGCGAAAGTAGGCTTTATAAAAGGATTTCATAAGCTTGGGTTCGATTGACATGTGATTATAACGAAATTCATCGCTGTAAGTTGCCTGCTCTATCTTTTTTTCATGATCAACTCTAGAAAGAAAAAAATAACATATTTCCCACTTTCTCCAAAACAATTTGCTGATTGCAATTAAATGCCACACAAGTGTCTTGTTTTACGCAGAGCATTTTCCATATCTTGTGAACTAAGTGTTCATCTCTCAAAATTACTTTTTCAGTTTGTGTCAAATAAAGTATGACTGATGAAACAATTGTGTCGTAGCATTAATCTTTTTGGCTTCATTTCTCAAAGATTCCGTTCTGGATTACGAAGCCCTCGCGCGTTGTGTATTTCAAATAGCATGGTTCCTCACTCTTATCAATACTTCTTCAGGGCGCAAATATACTGGAAGCAAACAGAGCTTAAAAATTGGCCTTGTCTACCCATAGAACGTACACTATTATTATAACAGGGAATAATACCACTAACCTGATTATAGGACGACGGGATGCACTATAGAATTTTCCAACTTTCGTCTGTGTTACGTTACGAAATGCCACAGGTGTATTCGCCAATATTTGAAATGATTCTTGATCTTCTTCAAAGAGGAGATTTGCTGCATGGAAACCATCTACCCATAAATTGGCACCACCTTCACCTTCCGTTTGCTCAATGCAATGAAGCATTGCAACCTAAAGAGAAAATGTAAATCCTCTATTAAACCTCTCCATAAAATTCCCGGTCATATAAGTCTCCTCTCCCAAATAAGATCTCTCTCTCATAAAGCCCTCCCCCAATTTCGGCGAAAGAAATGTAAGTAAGCTCTATTACATTGTTTTCTTCCCAACGGAAAATCTTTCTCAACTTCGATTTGCTTTTTGATTCCGATAATCTATTCTTACATCGCCATTTTAAATACTGAATCAATTTTTACTATGGCCTTCCAAATGTTTTGTGATGGACAAACGTCGTTTACAAATTATAAATTTATATAACGTTATTTTAAATTCCGTAATTTAATCGGCGCACGTTATTAAAAAATTACTAGTAAACAAAGTTTGTCTGTCACAAAACACATTTTGTAAAAAGCGTTTAAATAGTGTACAGGATCCTCAGCGTCTTACCCTTCTTTTTAGCAGAAAAGACAACAATAAGGAATAAACTGAATTCACCGATGAGAAGTCAAGAGAGCTTTAATTTTTTATAAAAATGAATAACAACGTGGTGCGCTAGATGATAATGGAATACTGATGAGCTAAACCGTCGAGGAAAGGAAAGGAATGGCGTAATGCTAATAACGATAACTGAAGAAACTGCTACATCGTAATTTGATCTGAAATTTAATTATATTCTCTACTCTGGCTTGTTGCATGCTAATTTCTACCATTTACGATCTTGATTACAAGATTTGATTGATGAATTTTAGAGCATTATTTGTTCAGCGAATGCTTTGCCAAAATGTATTAAATGTAGTTCTGCGAGTTTTTCTCTGTACTCATATAAAGTTCTTAAAGGTATGACTTATTTTAATCCAATTTTCGTTTCACTGCCAAGGTTAAATTATAAAATCCAGTTTTCATTTGAAAGCGGTGAGTAGACTTCGAAAAGTTTTTGCAGAAAATGTGGAAATAAAAATGTTTTGGCATTTGAAGATACATGTGTGTCGCACGCCAGAAGCATGTGGGTCAACCTCGTAGCCAGGGCTTCTGCGCTTGCGGCTCTCACAAGCGCAGAAGCACTAGGTACGAGGGTGCATGTGGGTCGGAAATAGGTCGCCGAAGTTCGCCGTTACAGTTTCGACATCTAACCTGTTATAAGTCCCTGCATTACACATCAATATACCAGCCTAGTCTCTAGAGTTCTTAATACGTCTTAGTACGCGTTATCATTAATATGCTGACGTCACGGAATGATAAAAGACGTGCAAAGAGGACTAGGGACTAGTCTGTCGATATGTGCACTTATAATGCGCCTTTTCTCCGCCAATAACCTGATATATTACCTGCCACTATAAGTTTAAATATTAAATACTTACCGCAGGCACAAAGTGGTTGAATGTAAAATCCGTATGGATGGGTAGAAAAGAATCAGTGTAACCAATTTCATGTGTTGCTTCCCCACCGAATGCCCTTAGTTGAAGAAAATCGCTAAAAAATATTGATATATTAAGTTAACTCAACCTAGAAATCCCACGCTAACAAACTAATCCGCCTCCTATTTTGTTTTTCGACGTTAGCGATTGACGTTTTTACTTTTCAATGCGAAAATGGATCGTGTTATGTCTCCTTCTAACCAATATTAAGACCAAATGTGCCCTGCTGTATAAGCCAATACAGAGTCCACACTACGCATTCAAATGTCAAGGTAAATGCAGTTGAGCAATAACATGCAGCAGAGATTAGAAGAATTTGAAATTGCATGAAAAATTGCTTATTAAAACAATAGTTTCCACACACTTTAAACTATTAGAAAATATACTCCCTTAAATGTACCTTCCTCTTTTTACTCTTAGAAATTCAAATAATTAGCCCCCTCCCCCCAAAAAAAAACCTCCAAAAATGGCGAATTTGGCCTTCGTGAGAAAGGCTAATTGATCGAATTTTATGCATGGTATCATTCATGAAATTCATGAAACACGTGATTGATTATGTGCTGATTAATTTACGTAGCTCGTAAAACAATAAAACTTCTTTGCTCTGTAGTCATTTTTTAAGCGAATTGACGAGGACTAATTTCTAAATCGTTTTGACTTTCAATTCGAATTTTCATGTACAATTTATATTATACAACTTTAAATTAATATGCTCATACGATTACAGTGCATTCGAAACTCCCAGAGGTAATGAAGTTTAGGTGTTTACAACAAATCGGCGATTTCTAAAGGTTAATTTTTTAGACACCTTTCTGCATGTATACCAGAAGACATAATGTATATAATATATGGCTTTAATTTAAAGATAATATCCAGTCTAATCTGAGAATGCGCGGATTTTATTGTTTTGATGGGAATCAAAACAAACCATAGTAATAACTTTGATCATAGTAATTACATGAAGTATGTCGGAACTTGAATTGTGCTTCTTTCTACTTCCAAAACGAACTCAACTTAAGTTCTAAATGATGTAAAGGATAATTAAAGGACTAGCTTATAATATTGAAGGAGCGAAATAGATCTTTGGGTAGTTTCTTTGTTTGGTTGAGAAGTTGACCGTTTACAAACTTTATAAATTATAGTTGTTTAATTGAGCTGAAGTTCTGATCTGAACTATTAAGTTATTGCTGGAAATGGAAGGCTGGTATCACAGGATTATCGGCCCCCTGGAGATTTCCCCCCCCCCCCTTCCTTATAATTTATAATAACATTATACAATTAGTAAGTTAATTAAATTGTCAGTTACTAGTACGACTACTTCATCAACATATATTCACTGAGAATTTTTTGTGACTTAATTTTTTGTGACTTAAATTTTTGTGACTCAAAGGGGAGGGGCGAATCTCCCAGGAATATCGCCCCCCGCGAGGGCAAACCTCGCAGAATTCCTCCGGGGGGCGAAATCGTGGGGGGAGGGGGACTGGGGTCGGGGGAGGTAAATTCCTTGGAAAATGCTGTGAAATATTTACTACAATTGTTCCCGCTTCTGGGGATTGAGAACTGGCGCGAGCCCTGAGAAACTGTGAGGGGCCCCCGGCAAAAGATTCAGTATTCGCACATTGTTGACTTTTGGACGATTTTAGTATTTTGGACAGTTTTACGTACATTTTATGGTTATTTTGGAGATTTGTTTCGATTGATATTACAATGTTTTGTTGATTTTGAGTTCGTGTGAGTGTATTTGGTCGCCCCGCGACATTTGGTCCTATTCGAGCCTGGATTAAAGACTAGTATTGAGAGAGTTTCAAGTGTACTTCGCGGGAGTTTTAATGTACTATTAATCAAGTCTATTCAAGAAATCTACATCGAGTTATATTGTGAAAATTGTGTGAGTTACTTCGCCCAAGAGACATCAAAGATGTCTATTTGTGAATACATTTTATAACAGTGTTATTGTTTGAACGAATTATACGGTTTTAAGTCCTTGGAAAACAATAAACTGTGCAGTTTATGTGCATACAATCTATTGAATATAGATACATCGAGTTAATTTATTACAGTAGGTCGCAGATCAAATTCTATTGTTGTTCCTATGTACTAAATGAGCAAAAGTAAGGACGGTGAGAGTATTATTACGCAGTTAGAATCCATAACAAATCAAGACCAATCATTGTGGATGGCAGAGAAACAGCCTAGTACAGATGTAAACAAAGGAGATGAAACTAATATGTCAGTTAGATCTAAGACTAAGTCAAAACAATCGGGTGTATCCAGTATTTCAACTGCCCGAAAAGCGGCAATATTATTAAAGAAATTCGAAGCTGAAAAGGCAGCTCTTCGTTTAAAGTTGTTGGAAGAGGAGAGTGTACAGTGTCAGGAAGAGGAAAATGAGCTACAAATATTGCAACAGAAACAGCATCTGCAAGAAGAAGAACAAAAGCGTCTACAGGCGGACCTTGAGAAAGCAAAGGTCCAAGCAGAACGTCGCAAAAAATGGCGAGAATTACAACAGCAAGCTAGAGAGTCTCAACTTGAGTATAATCATGCTGTGAACGAGGAAGAATGTATGCGGGAAGAAGAGAATAGATCAATGAGACAAGGACTAGTCGACTTACTCGGCAGCGAAATACTGGAAGATCGTGTTATGCGGCTAGGCCAAGATGAAACAAGGAATGACAATCAGGATAATTTATTGAGTGGGCCAGAGCAACCGTTAGATAGGCAGAATACCACACACATTATTCCAGGGACAAATGGGGATAATCAGGTACATAGTGTTAGTGCAAGGGACATACAGGGAACTATAAATGAGACGGTGTATAACCCTGAACAGGCTAATAGATTTAGAGCTGAGAATACTATCCCAAACCTTTCACAGCCTAAATTCAAAAAGAGACAGCCCCAACTGAAAGCCTTTTAGAGAAAATGCTACCTACCCTTATCAAGATGGAAAGACCTAAACTACCAGTATTCGACGGCAATCCGGTTGACTATACTAGATTCAAAGCTTGTGTTAAAGTAGAGATTGAACGGAAAGGGGTGTATGACAATGTTGAAAAGCTCAAATTTCTTCTTGATGCTGTGACCGGGTCGGCAAAATCCTGCTTAAAGAGATTTATATGGAGGGGAATTAGGGACAAAATTGTTTCAGAGTCAAAGCATTATTGTGTCACGGTCAATTGTATCGTACTGGACAGGCAGGCATTGAATCGTACTGGATAGGCATTGGGTCGTACTGCATAGGCAATGGGTTGTACTGGATAGGCAATGGATCGTACTGGAGAGGCAATGGGTCGTACTGGACAGGCAATGTGTCGTACTGGACAGGCAATGGGTCGTACTGGACAGGCAATGGGTCGTACTGGATAGGCAATGGGTCGTACTGGATAGGCAATGGATCGTACTGGATAGGCAATGGATCGTACTGGATAGGCATTGGGTCGTACTGGATAGGCAATCGGTCGTACTGGATAGGCATTGGGTCGTACTGGATAGGCAATGGGTCGTAAAAGAAAATTGTCTCTTTTCCGTATGGAAATTTTGAAAAAATGGAAGGAAAGTGGAAAATGAAAATTTTTCGTGTGGGAAGTGGTAACACCAAACATGTTTAATTCGCATTTTGCATTTTCTGATTTTCATAATCTGCGTATATATTTTGTCAAAAGAATTCCATGCTTTATTTGTTTATTGTCCTTTTTAAAATTGTTTAAAATGTCAAGAGAAGACGACAGGTTACAACGTGCGAAAGATGCGTTAAAGAACGCGTTACAGGAATTGGAATCAGAGCCACAGAGCTCAAGCAACGCAAGAGCTACAGCTACTCGGTCTCCGAATATCGGTGTCGTTGATCAACAAAGACAAAGTGCAACTGATGATTTTAGGTGAGTCAATGAAAGAGGAACGGAATCCATGAGTGTATTATCTATTTTCTTTAAAGGAATATTATAGCTATAAGTAAGTTTAATTGTTTAATATATAGACCATAATATTGGCGCCGCCGCTTTCCCATTCTAATGCATGCAACACGTGTCATTAGTAAATTTATATTTTTTTTCAAATACGCGACTACCGGGGAGGGGGTTATGGCCAAAAAGAAACAATGACGATAAATCAGTCAAGATGTTATATACATAATTTCAAATGCCCCTGGCCAATAAAGCAGTTAAGATTTTATACATAATTTCAAATACCTGGAAAAGTTATAAAATATGATAATTTGTAGGGGGGGGGGGGCAAGGGGGGTCTTGTCACGAAATTACCCAGAGTGAATTTGAGGGTGTATTTCCGAAAGATCTTCGGCGCAGAACAGTGACTCGAACAAAGTTTGGCGCAGATTGATCGCAAATATTGATTTGGCGCAACTATTTGTCGCAGAATGATCCCAAAGATCAATTTGGCAAAGATTTGGTGAAGCAATTGAGCATTTATATGTAATAGTATATTTGAAATTATGATTTGAGAAGAATGAAAAGCCAAATTTCGAAAATTCAGTGAAAATTTCGGATATTTCCTAAAACCGCATATTTTTTCGCGACAATTTTCTTGGCGCGGGTTTTGGTGCAGCTTTACATGAATTCGAAAAATCTTTCGATTCACGAGTCACGAAAAACAAAATTTCATTTTCACGATTTTTAGAAACACAGAACCGTAGCAAAGTCTGAAACCATTTAGCGCGGATTTTCTAGACAGCAGAACTTGCTGACTTCAACATTAGAGCCGTTTAAACGACTATGAAAATCATTGCGAGGCATTACAAAACATTACGAGACACGAACCAACCTCAAGAAACGAAGAAACTTTAAGAAAGACAACCGCGGGAAGCAAATTTATTTATTTTCCCCCCATAATATTAAATTTGGGCCGAGTTTTAAACGTAAACATTCACAATAGCTAATCACGAGTCATGAAAATACCCTTGCCCCCCCCCCCTTTGTAATAAATTCCATGTGTTTTTAATGACTATTTTTACAAGGTTCTGCAGGCCCTGCTGTTTTGTGTGACCTTCCCTGATGCAGCAGGAACTTGTTAAGAGAATAAATGTTAACAGAACTTGATAAATCCAACTCATTGGGTATATTTTTGTTGCCGACATTACTGTTATTGTAGTTTCAACTCTAAATATTCCTTTTTGGATTTTAATCTATTAATAAAATATCAGTCACCAGAATGATAATGATTTAACATAAATTATTGCCATATTTAAAACAAAGTATATGACCGGCAGCCGGTCACGGTTTATCAAATACTAAATGGCCGGTCTAAATGGCCAGTCTAGTGACTATAGTTGAATATAAAAACTTTTGTTTGCGTTAACTTTTATCGAGCTTGCCGTTAGCTCATATGGCAAGGGCGCTGCGTGCGGAAAGTTAAACGCAGTCGGGGTCGGGATGTGTTTGTCTGATTTAGCATTTTTTTTCTTAAAATTACTGTGCAGAAAGCCTGTTTTTGCCCCCCCGCTGCCTTAAAAATCTTGATCTTCTGAAAAAACGATAGTAAACTAAAATTTTTGTAAATACCCCTGAAAACCCAAGTGTTTTTGACTTGGGCCTTATCAGACCTTGAATACGGGTTATCTGAATATTGGTAAATTTCCGTGTTGACACATTTGGCCCATTGTAATATTTAAATTTATGAAATAAAATTTAGGAGAGCTTTCCCGGGACTCTGTTCAAGGAATGTGTCAAGGCCATCCACGTCAAGAACACAGAACACACAACAACCACCTGCAAAAAGATCAAGGCAAATGGTTGGTTATACACCAGTCCATTTTAAAGTTCCTGACACCTGAACTCATGATGTCTGTATTGTTGCAAGAGTCAACGAGACTTTAACTCCAGATAGAGCTCGTAGTGAGGTCTTGACGCGTGCTGGTCTTGGGCGAGTGAGACTCGTGTTTCCAGATAGAAAGGCATCCCATCAAGACCTTCAAAAATTTTTAGAGGGCAAGTTCCCAAAACTTAAAGCAGCAGGAGGATTTGAAGTTCTCAGGGCTCATGGTGGTGGTGGAGGTCAAAGAACATTGGTTCCATTACCACCAAGCAATGAAGGGTACACTGTTCCTTACTTAAAAGAGAGGTTGAATTCAGCTGTTGCCTACATAAGACCTTTACAGGCAGATCTTGATGAGTCCAGTTCTAATGAGGTAAAATGTTGCTGATTTTATGTAATAAAATAAAGTAGGAAACAAACTCGAATAGAAGTAACATCTCGAATGTAATAAATTTGTTTGTGGAAACACAACCAGGCTTTTATGGCGAAGGGCGTTCAGGCGTCCTGGGACGCCCCTAGAACAAAAAATGGACGCCTTTGGACGCCCAAATTCTGGGGAGAAAGGAAATTATCTTCAGTTAATTTCCTAAGTATATTAATATATCTGAAACGAAATAGCTTCAATTCTCATTATTATTATACATTTGACATTTTGATCAATTTGATGGTGTACCTGGCAAATGAAAATGTCATAGTTAATTAAGTAAAGAAGGATAGCGGCACAAACTCGCAAAGCCAAGTGTATTTGAAAAATCGTATGTATTTGAATCAAGTGTATTTGAACAAGCTTGGAACAGATACTGACATAAACGTAAGCTTTAAGGTTTTCCAGAGGGACGTTTCCTCGACCCAAAGGTTGAACATATAGGCTGTTCAAATGATTGTAGTCTAAACACAGGGATTTGGCCTTCAAAACAAGCATATACGTGGGTAAGATAAAATGTGTAGCTCTGATCTATCTTATTTTTATTAAAATGTAGATGGAAGCTGGGCCAATGGTCCCTTGCATTTATTGCAATGAAGAAATGCCATTCACTAAAGTAAAGGAGCACAACTGTATTTCTGAGTGAGTAACCTTTGTATTTAATCAACAATGTCAATTACAGTATAAGTATGTAAATGCTAAATGTCAATGAGGATCAAAATTACCAATTCCTTCAACAACAATTTGGACTTTCAATTTAAAGAGTCATGCCTACCGACCCCACTTCACGAACATAAAAGATTCAAAAAATAATTTCACATCCGCCTGTACATCTAAAGGATTTACTGGGGTAAATGCCACACCAATTATATAGCTATAAAGTTTCCTGATTTAGCTATGAAATGGACAGTTAAAATCAGTTACATATACACATCAGACAAAATGTAGACCTACTGTAATTAATAAAGTTTGTTTATAACTTATAATAGTTTAAATATTTTGAGGCGAGACCAGGTTTAATCATCAAATTTCTCAGCCATCTGGTTTAAATATTTATTTTTACAAGCTTTTGGCTGCGAATTTGTGGCCTTGACCTGTAAGTTACAATAATAAAAAAATAAATATTTTAAACCCGAGAGTGTTAAAAAATAATAATAGTTAGATAATGTGGTGTATTCTTTGATACTTTTACTAACGGTGTGTGAGTATAGTATATATTTCAGAAAAGAAAGAGTGAGGGAGTCTGATAGTAAATTGTAATCATGTCAAAATGTATTTGTGTTTTATAGAGCTGGTACCAGCCAAGATTTGAAGGATGCTGATGCTATAA